TATATATATATATATATATATATATATGGAGCACTGAAATGAGGTGGTTCGTCGGCAGCTTTGTCTGGCGCCGTGTTTAACATAGCAACACCTCATCTACGTGCCACGCCAATCTGCCCGCTTCTCTGTTTTTATGCATGCTCTTCACCATTTTCTTCTCTATGATCAAATACAGATGAAGAGAGAGAGAGAGAGAGAGAGAGAGAATATATATTTGAAGTTTTCAAACTGGTAAAAATTTCGATTCAGTCACTTCAAGATCTAAAAATAACGTCAAATTATACGATGAAAATGGATTGCAATTGACAAAAGGATGCTCATTTAGATAGACATTTTTACGAGACAGGAGAATAGATTCGAATGACGAACTTCAACGGCGAAACGGAGATAAGGACCGTAGCGAGAAATTCCGCGAAAAATCCGCATACCTTCGCGGGTGACTCAGTACCGGATCTCCTTGAGCATTTTACGAGTGCAAATATCGTCGTCGTGGTTCCCCTATCGGCTCTGCCCACCCTTCCACTCGTCCTTTCTTCTTTTTTCCCCTCACTCTATTTGCCCTGTCTGGTTACTCTTTGCTATTCCAACACGGCACGGATGCTGACGTGAACGGTCACGCGCTACCAATCAACCACCGCGGCCGAACCTTTCATTCATGATTCTTTCGGCGCCTCGAAGAGAACACTCGAGAAACATTTCGCCTTCTGTCTCCTGTGAGAATGAATTACCTTTCCTTGGGAAGGACACGTCGCAGCCGATCGATCGATCGATCGATCGATCGATAACGTAAGCGGATCTGTTGCGTAAAGCCTCGTTTCTATCGCGAATCGCCGATGACGACGTTTTCCTTGACCGACCGGTACCACCACCATTTGCCAACGATCTCTCGCTTCGACCACCTCATTTTTCCCTTTTTTTCATTCGTGTCGTTTATTAAAATCCCGAACGTTCAACAACGAGCGAGTTTCCTACGCATCTTTGCACCAATTTACCCCTCGACACGAGTAGCCTTCGCGATCGCGATCGCGATCGTCGTGAGAATGGAATGTCGTCGGTAAGCCGACGAGTTCGGCTACAAAAGGGCACGCTGGCGCTCTATAACTGCTCAAGGCTGAACAATTTTTCGTCGTCGTCCACATCGCGATCCCAATCAACGTACACACGCGACTACTCTCAAATGGAAAAATATTTTTATTCGTTGGTGAACTTTCCTTCCCTGAAGAAGGACGATAGTCGTCGGATGATGAGAGATCCGGGCAGTACCGATAAGAATACACGCACCGCACGAACCAGTGCGTGGCGATACGCACGACGCCGATATATCGGCCGGGGTCATCTTTCGGACCGAGTCGACGATTCATTCATAACCGGGAAACTTGCGCGATAGCGCGCGCTTACGTCGCTCCGTTTATCGCCGGACTTTCGCTCGCTCATTCTCTCTCTTCTATTTTTATCGCGAATGAAAAATATATACATACATATATATATATATATATATAGTTCGTGTATTTTTTTTTTTTATAGCGAGCTTTGGTGTCGGAAATTAAAAGTTTCCTTAAATTTTCATCGGTGAAAGAAATGTCGTTTTTCTGGCGTTCACGATGAAAAAGAAAGAAGAGGAGAGGATTCTTCTCTCTGTATATTTCTCAATTATCGCGCGACAGAGAGGAAAACATCGACACGGTCCATTCATTCCACGGATACTTAATGACCTACGGACGCTTGTAATCTTGACTCAGATATCCAAGCAACGTCGTTCAAACGTTGCGAGATTCGGGTATGACGCGACGTCGGGCTTTCGTATTTGTATTTTGATAGAATCGCTCTCTATATATACATATCGTTTGAACATTTTTCAACAGATATGTTGGCATTTAGTTATTGGCCTAAATCCTCACGCTTCTGATTTTTACGATCGATCTAAAAATAAAATAGTAATAATTTTAATGTGTAATAAAAGAATTTGTTAATCTGAAATATGTATATTTCTAATCTTGTTTGGTGATCAAAACAGTTATGTTAGATTTGCTTTACAAACGGAAAGACATAAACTGAAAATCATTCATTTCCACAAGTTCCAATAACTATGCACTGAAAGAAGAATTTCCAACATAGAAGCAAAGAACGAAATTATCGTTGTATGTTCGGTACATAGAAAGAGATACTACATTTGTGCAGTAGCCGGTACTTCGTTTTTGAACAAGCGAGAATACTATGGCTGCCAGTATAAAGATCAAATGTTCTCCTGCCATTTTCATAACGCGTAAAAAAAAAAATGTTCTCGCGACCGAAAATAGTAGATGAGCGACGGTGGTTGTCAAGTGCTAGATCCTTGACTAACGGAATCGGAAATAGTCATTTGCGTGCACGTGTCCGTTCACGTGCACATTCTTACAATCGTAATAATAATAAACGTCGCTTTTCCCCTACTGTTCCTCGTATTTGATCACGAGAT